GATGATTTCCGCATTCCATTGGGTCACCTCTCTTTGAAATGGGCACGAATATGGATCTCTTCCAATCAGTTGGCCAGACAGTTGTCTTCCAAATTTCTTGGCAGAGATGAGTGAGTGCCTCTTGTGTCGCCTCACTTTCCCGAAAGATTTCAATTTTTATTCCATCAATTCCTGGTGCCTTGTTCTTTGCTAATTCCTTCAATGCACTTTGGACTTCCTCCCTGAGTATCACTGGCTCTTGTTCATATGGTATCTCTTGAAATGGTTGAACATTACCATTTCCTTTTGATACAATGATTCTGTGTATTCCTTCTACAGATGGGTATCTCATTGTATTATTTTTAGTTGTATTTTTTGATCGATAGCGGTGCTGAACATCTTTTCATGTGCTTATTACCCATTTGTATATCTTATTTGAAAGACTGTTTATTCTGATCCTTTCTCTATTTTTAAACTGGGCTGTCTTTTTTAAATTATTGAGATATAAAAATTCTTTAAATATAACATATTTATATATTTTCAGATATGATTTGAATATTTCTTTTCTCCCATGCTGTAGATGGTCATTTCTCTTACTTGGTGGTATGAAACTAATGAATTAAAAAATGAATGATTAAAATTCAAGAACCCAGGTCCAGAAAAAAGTATTATACTCTTTAAGTAATTAGTACCATTTCTCTACTGGGCCAAAGTAAGGAATTACTCATGAGGAGGACAGTCTGCACATGACACTTACCTGCATTATTTGCTCATACATGTGTGCAAGTGGTAAGAATGAAATGTGTGTATCACTGGCATTCAAGGTAAGTGCTTTCTGTAAAACACAACAACTTAGCACAACACAAGCAAGCAAGCAAAGATTACAAAACTCAGTGCCTACCTCGACAACTCTCTCAAACATATGGGCCAGAGGCAAGAAAGAAATCAAAGTATCATCTGGGGAAGGATTGACTGTATTCTGAAAGTAAAGATACCAGCAAGGTAGAAAAGTAGTAAGATTTCCAGTAATTTCCCCATTTATTTCAGAGCACATAATACCTCAGCATTAAGGAGAAGCTGACTTTGCTGATGGTCTGCAATTATTTCTCAGCAAAGGATGAAATGAAAAGCAGTACTTTAATTATATTCTAATAGTCAAGTACATGAGGTCATTATAAATGACACAGTAAATCCAATCATACTTTTGTCAAAATAAGAATTTTACTTCAAGTAAGATGTTAAGGGATTATGTGTTCTAATAACTACTGCCCAGCATGCTCAATTCCACCTTAAAGTAAGACATTCCAACATAAGTAAGCACAGGCCGAAGGGTAAAGGAGATAAGAGAAACTGAATATCCAAGATTCATTATTTATAGTATAAATGCACCTAGAGTACTGCAATTTAATCAACATTTTTACCTTAATGCCCTGCTTTGTTGTTGAAAGCTGCTGAATTGGTCCCCAACCTATAGTGACCCATGCACAATGAGATAGGCTGTGTGATCTAATAAGGTTTTCAATGGCTCATTTTCAGAAATAAGATCGTCAGACCTTATAAAATGACTCCTCCTGGTTCATTTTCATCTGGAAGCTCCACTGAAACCTGTTCAGCATCATAGCAACATGCAAGCCTCTACTAGCAGACATGAAGTGCAGGAACTAAAGCTGGGCCTCCCATCTCGTCTGTTGTTGTTGTTATGAAGTGCTGTCGAGTCAGTTCCAACCCATAGCGACCCTGTACAGGGTTTCCGAGAAGCAGCTGGTGAGCCTGAACTGCCGACCTTGCAGTTCAAATGGTTTTGCAGTCTGGCGCACTAACCCACAGCGCCAAACCAGGACTCCCCCATCCTTTCTAGAAGTCAAGAATTCGACCACTGAGTCTCCAATGACCCCAATTAAGCCTAATGTTGTTAAGTGCTCTTGAGTCAGTTCTGACTCATAGTGACCCTGTGTGGGGTTTCCAAGGAGCAGCTGGTGAGTTTGAACCGCTGACCTAGTGGCTCAGAGCATTATCCTACTGCACCACACCAGGACTCCATGAAAAGTATTCCAATTTGTTCAATGCAAGTTCAGATTTGCCCTCCTATAAAAAAGGTTGATTGTGATTGGTCTGCATCCAGTCTAAGTTTGTATATCAATTGAATGAGTTTTACTTGGGGGCAGACATATTGAGTGTTTGCATGGAATGGCATGCTTGAGTTTGTAACATAAAGAATTTTGATCTAAACAAGAAGATGCCAACAGCAGCTGCTGCCACACCAACTAGGGAATGAGAAAACTGTTGAGTTGCCTAGTGGGAGATTATTCACTTCTGAGCCATGCTTTCCCCATCCTCAAAGCTGGACCACGCTTGTTGTTGTTAAGTTCCATTGAGATGGTATGGACTTGTAGTGACCCTAGAAAGGGTTTCCAAGGTCCAGCTGGTAGGTTTGAACTGCCAACCTTGTGGGATCTTATTCTACAGAGCCATACCAGGAGCACATTTAATAATAATGTAATAATAGGTGAAAACACCAGTCCTGAGCAAACACAGTAGCCCTGGACATGCTCAATGTCGATTGTGCATGCTATAATCTGAGTTTAATTTTATTCAAGTGTGACCTGTATCCCAACCAGTTGTCAGAATGCAATATTCATACGAAGAGCAGCTAAACCATTTTTCTGATTTAGCACAAAAAATAAATTCCTATTAGCATGTTTAGATTTTTTTAGTTTTACAAAGCAGATAATGCCCCTTAATACTATAATTAATTTTTTTAAAAAGTATCTTGGAATCATCTGTCTCAAAAAGCCGCCAATGCATTTTAAGTTTTCTTTGAAGGCCAACTAGGGAATTAAAATCTCACTTTAGTAAGGTACTAAATGTTGATCTCTGTTCATAAAGCATACACCAAAATGAGTATTTGGAACTAAGAAACATGTGAGTGGAGTAAAGTAAGTGGCAAGATCCCTAAAAAGTCAAGATTCTGCAGCCATCAAAGATGTCCATTCCCCAAAACCATTAAGCACAGGTTCCTGCTGTAAAAACTAGGCTACAGAATACTACTTCCAAGAGAATGCATAAGCAAACTATGTAAAATTTGAACAGAGCATGGGGGAAAGGCATTATAATGTTAAGTAAGTACCCTTTAAAAGACAAGTTTGAATGATATTTTTGGCAAGCAAGCTCTAAGATTATAAGAAATTAATTAAAGTTTCAGACTTTAATTCATCTCATAATAGATAAGGCAAACTGGCCAAAAAGCTAATAACTGAAAAAAAAAAAAAATCTCAATAACATTTAACATTTCATAGTCAATTACAGAAACCACTTCCCCAACACTGGAATAGTAGATAAAAGCATTAGAAAATCATCTCTCCTCTCTTTCTTTTCCTGGAAACATTTCTAGAGTCGTCTTCAAATAAAGTTTTATAATATAAAGCTACAGCAATTCACTTTAACCATCACAAGCTAGAATTGGAGATTCGGTTCACAATGAACATAATCAAGAGAAAGGGAGCTTTAAAGTTCAGACAAGTACATCACCCAGGGCCATAATATTATCATCCAAGATTTCTAACTAGTCACCTTTACCACTTTCATTCTTGAGGCCTAATGCCAACCAGTAAAAATAAACAAAGATGTCAATGTCCCAAAAGGTTACCTCTGTCATTTTCACAAAAGCTGAGCAATCGCTCACTATATTTCGATGAGTGATCAGTGCTCCTTTGGGGTTGCCTGTGGAACACATATGAAGCAGAACAAAGTTAGAGTAAATGAAACTTTCTAAGAATGATAACAACCGAGGAAGCTCAGAAACACTGTATGATTAGGATCTCAAATGCCTCTTAGATTAGGCACCCTTATGAAAGCCAATTGTTTAGTAACATTAAATTCTTGAGCAACCTAAAATCCTTTAAAATGAATCTTATTATATTAAATAATCATTATGAACATGGGCAAATTTTAGAGGGTGTGTGTAGCAATAAGAGGAGGAAACACAGGAATTTTGTTACTGGGAATCAGAAACAGTTTGTTCCAGGAAAATGAATGAATCTAATGTTGCAGTCAGTGAATGTTTGAGGAAATAGTTGGCACTTGCAGATCCTGAGGACGTCCTCTACAGTAACAAGAAGACTTGCTTTGGATCACTTTAGTCTCTCTTGCTTTCAGTCCACGTATGTTGTTGTTGTTGTCAGTTGTCATCAAGTCGGAACTGACTCATAGCAACCCCATGCACAGCAGAAGGAAACAATGTCCGATCCTGGGCCAACCTTACTACTGCCGCCACACTTGACGCCATCAATGATGTCACCTGGCTGATCCATCTCGTTGGGGGTCTTCCTCTTTTTCTCTGACCCTCCACCTTACCCAGCATGACATCCTTCTCCAGCGACTGTTCTCTCCGGACAGTGTGTCCAAACTATGAGAGACGAAGCCTCCAAGGAGCACTCTGGTTGCACTTCTTCCAAAACAGATCTATTGGTTCTTTTGGCATTCCATGGCACTTTCAGTATTCTCCTCCAACACCACAACTCAAAGGCACCAATTCTTCTATGATCTTCCTTATTCACTGTCCAGCTTTCTCATCCATATGAGGTTATTGAAAATACCATGGCTTGGGTCAGGCGCACCTTAGTCCTCAAGCTGACATCTCTGCTCTTCAATACTTTAAAAAGTTCCTGTGCAGCAGATTTGCCCAATGCAATACGTCATCTGATCTCTTGACTGTTGCTTCTGCGAGTGTTGATAGTTGATCCAAGAAGAATGAAGTCCTTGACAACCTCAATCTTTTCTCCATTGATAAGAATGCTGTTTATTGGTCCAGTGGTGAGGATTTTTGTTTTCTTTACATTGAGTTGTAATCCATACATAAGGCAGTCCACGTATAGTTAGCTGGTAAGTCATCCAAAAGAGGAAGTAGGGAATCCAAACTTTCAGAAATCACTTAGAAGCAATCTCATTTCAAAACTTACCTGTAGTTCCACTTGTAAAACATACTACTGCAATATCTTCAGGTGCTGGAGGCTAAAGCAGATAAGAAAATAAAACAAAAAGATGTTGCAAATCAGAAGATAAGAAAACCATAAGCTTCCATAAAGTTGTGTCAAGGCCACTGTGATTCAGCGTGACCGATGGGTTCAGAACTGCTCCAGAGAGTTTTCAAGGCTGTGACCTATTGGAAGCAGACCACCAAGTCTGTCTCAGGTTCATATCACCAACTTTTTGGCTAGTGCTTAACAGCTTGCATCAAACTACAAACCATAAAGAATCTTCAAACCGGAACTTCAAACCATAAAGAATCTTCCAGGATTTTTCAAAAGTGTATAGATACTGAAATTATATAGGGGGTTGTGACAAGGACTGACACAGGGTACTTACCTTGGGCTTCCGTCTGTTGGCCTTTCCCAGGTTCTTAATTAAAAGAAGAAGAAGAACACATAAATGGAAATGCTTTCTAAATGTAAAGAATCAGTCACAGCAAGTCACTTAAGGTTGACTTTTACTGTGAGGCTCACTACAACTGGTCTAAAGACAAGATCTTTTTTAAATTAAATAAACTAGCAATTTTAACTAACTCAAACCCAAATATTTACCCACTGTTCTAAGAAGCCACTTTCAAATGTCTTCCTTTTTATATGAAACTATATAAATGATATTCAAACTGGCCTCTGAAATAGAACTTATTCAAAAGACAGTAATAAAATTTTCAAAATGTATTTCTTGTCTCCACTCTGACTTTCTATTATAGTCTTATAACTACATCTCACTCTTATATATTACCAAAGATTTCTATCCATTGATTAAAAACAGGAATGCTGATGTCCAAATAAAACTAAAATATGAGTTAAAATAATGATAATTTTGCAAACATTGTTTTTCACAATAATCTTTATCAGTTCTAAAAGTGTTCACTCTCTGTTCAAAATTCTTACGTAGCTTCTTGAGATCTCTACTACTTCAGAAATTGATGGTAAAGAAAATAAGACAACAAATATATGCAATTTGGCATTAAACTCATTGAGGATAAACATTTATTCAAGTTTGCTGTTGTTAAATGCCATTGAGTCGGTTCCGACTCATAACAATCCTGGTGAATTTTAACCACCGACCTTGTAATTCAAATGACTTTGTGGTCCAGTGCTTATCCTACAAGAAAATATCACAGTCTAGAATATTTATGTCTTAATTTAGAAAAAAATACAGCAATTATAAAAATACTTATTCTATTTGATTCAAAATGCAAAATTTTTACCTTAAAAGAAAAAAACATTTAAAAATAAATACAAAATTTTAATGATAAGCATGCTGAAGTATTTGAGTTGAGGAAGTCAGTGTTTACTTAAAATGCACCAATAAAATAGGATGGATTGATGGATGGCTAGAGAGAACAGAGGATAATTACGTGATGGTGATGGTGGTTATGTGCCGTGGAGTCGGTCCGACTCATAGCGACCTAGAACAGGGTTTCCGAGATTGTAAATCTTTACGGGAGCAGAAAGCCACATCTTTCTCTCACGGAACAACTGGTAGTTTCAAACTGCTGACCTTGTGGTTCACAGCCCGATTTGTAACCACTACGCTACCAGAGCTCCCACATATATCAATTACAATGTTAATTACAATTTATGTAATGGGCATATGGCTTGTAAGACTGACTGTATGATTCTTTCAATGTATCTGTAAATCTCAAATTTTCCATAATGTAATGTTGAGGAAAAAAATATAAATTTGTATTTCTATTTTTGATTCTGAAAGATATAAATGTTAATATACACTTGACCACAAAACCAACCATAATGTTACTTATGAATTTACTTGTCAAAAAATTTTGTTTACATAATTAAAACAATAACCAAAAAACCCCACGAATTAAACATGAAGCAAATTTAACTTAAAAATATAAACACAGGAATCATACATAATAGGATTTTATAAACTTTTCTTCTGTAAAATTTAAAACAATACCCTTTATAAATAAAGATTGCATTAACATAAAATTATAATCTTTAATCATATACTCATGTTAATATTTTTTAATCTTAAAAACATTTATTAGATAGCAGTCAAAAATGACCAAAAATTTCCTCTGTGTGTCTTGACTGGGGATAGGGGGAGAAAGAAGAGGAGGAACAGAGAAAATTACATTACTGTCAAAAGGGTTTGCACGTTAAAAACTGAAAACAAAAAGTACTGCGCTCCTGTTTGATCTTACAGAATCATGTTCTACACATACAGAGAGCAAGCGACCAAACAGGTTTGGGGTGCAGGGTAAGAGTCTCTGGCAACAAGGATCTCCAGGGAATATACAGTTATATATATATCCATACCTGCAGACTTAAATTCTTTATAGAAGAAGGTAAACTAAAATACATTTAAAAAAAACCCTATTTATCAAACAATTTCGGAAAGAGATTGACTTGCTGTGTGAGATCACATACCATGAAATAAGCCTTTTATTCTCTGTGATGTGAGAATAAAAAACCCCTCCTTTTGCCAGCTTCCTCGGATTAAACTCCAACTTAAATCCAAGTGGGACAATCAACTTCTTACACGATTTGACATCAAACAGCCAATTTAAATATGGCCCTAACTCATGCCTCTAAATTGGTTGAGACTCATGTGACTCTTAAGAACTTTAATATAAAAACAATGACCTCAAACACCTATGCTGGAAGTCCATTAGGACTCCAACAAAAGAAACGTCAGAAAACAATAACGAGGCAAATTTTTGTGGTTGGGTCTGTGTTACACACAAATAAGGGAGTGCCGAGTCTGACTTACAGCAGCCATATAGGACAGAATAGAACTGCTCCTTAGGGTTTCTGAGACGTTTTACGGCAGCAGACAGCCTCATCTTTTTCGAGTGGAATGGCTGGTGGATTTGAACCACTGACCTAGCAGTTAGCAGCCCAATGCTTAGCCCACTGTGCTACAAGGGATCCTTACTAAAGTCTAAATTGGACATTATTTCTACCAGTCTGAATCTAAAATTCATTTAGTGGCAATACTGGTCAAAGCTCTAGAATATGTGAACCCTGAGCAATTCCCTTTATGAGAGAGCTTTCTGTAGGATGTGCTTTATTGACACACAGCAAGCATGTGGAATTGTTCTTTCAATGAAACAGAAATTTCTGCTCTGTATCCTATGTGGTTGCTAAGATGATGGGACAGAGTTGGGATTGTGTGGTCTTACTGGATACCACATTTGAGCTAAAATGCCCCCAAGGATACCCTTTGGAGATTTGGGCAGGGCAGAAGAACGCACCTGCAATGCCTTCATGCTGAGGATTTCCACCCCATACTTCTTGCCGCGTTCCACCAGCTCACTGCCGTAGGAGTCCATAAGGACTATGGTTTTAAGGACTGGTATTAACTTATTCTCTACACCATCTAATAAGAGTTTGGCCTTCTCTGTCTTGTCAACAAAAACCAGAGAAAGTTCAGCTGGAAAAGAAGAGATACAATGAGGAAGACAATTTTGTGATACTATACTTCACACACGATTATTTTAATTAGTGTATTCTTTGGATAGAATGGTAGATGTGCATTTAAATTAAAAACAAAACCAAAAACCTGTGAAATCAAATACAAGCACAAGTAAAGCCATTGAGTCTAACCTAGTCAACTAGGCTGATGTCTGACCAAAGACCACAGACACGTACGTACCTTTGTTGATTATGTACGTGATGGCTTCTGTTCCAAGGGTATCATAAAGTGGAACCACCACCATGGAATAAGCAAAGCATCCTTGTTCAATAATCACCCACTACAGTAACAGTGAAAGAAAGCAAGATGTTATAATACAATCACTCCAAGGAGAACAATACTTTAGAAAGATTCACAGTGAAAGCACTTCGTACTGCACAATAAACATTTGTGCAACTACAACTACATGAAAGGCATCATGAGGGATTCATAATGAAGAATGGATACAAATATATGGAAAGATAATTAATTATACAAACAGTGACTGATTTGGAATGAAGAGCTCCTTCAGAGCTGCGGTGGTTGCAGAAGGCTTCATGGAAGAGGTACCTGAGTTTGCTCTTTACGAGAGAAACATGGTTTGCATATCTCTTTGTGGGTTAAGCACTGGGCTGCAAACGACAAGGTCGATGGTTCAAACCCACCAGCTCTTTCATGTGACAAAGATGAGGCCGTCTATCCCCATACATAGGTTGACAGTTTCGGAAACCCCACAGGTCACTACTATGTGTTGAAACCCACTTGATGGCAGTGGATTTGGTTTGGGTTTGGACTCCCTTCCGGTAGAGGGAGGAGGGTCAGAAAGCAGTTGGATTTGGCTGACAATGAATGGATAATTCCAGCTGGGAAGTGGGGAGAGATGAGGCTGGAGAGGTGGGCTGGAAACACTGTGGTTATGGGGCCACTCAGCTCTGGACCTCAGGTAATGCAGAGCCACTGAATCTTTCAGGCAAAGGATTTGAAAAAGATAAATCCAGAAGCAGTGTGCATATGGCCTGGGTACAAGAGAAGGAGAATATATACTTCTCTAACAGGAAAAGCATTTTTGGCAAAATCTCTCCTGGAAAATGATGAGGGAAAGAAGTGATATAGTAACTGTTCGTGTACCTCAAAAGCAGATTTGGTAAGATCACTCTTCTACTTCTTATCCCTCAGTGTGCCCCATCACCTCACTCTGAAGTGTTCAAATAAAATCTTCTGCCAAATCCTGACATGCAATGTAGGTGAATGTTCAGCTGCTGTGGCTCAGAGCACAACCGCTCACGTAGCCAGAACAATTTTCCTATTCTTTTTTTCTTTTTCTTTGAAATGATTTTCAAGATTGTGGTGTAGTCCAAGCTTACTAGTGCACATGAGGCAGCTGTGGCTGGCTCTGATCTCTCTCTCTCCTGTTATAAATATTCTACCACTCTATGCCCTACTACCTACTTCATTTCCAAACACACATACTGTTAGAGGCTTCTGCCTCCTGACCCTCATTTCCTTCAAGATTTGTTATTTGAGAACTATCAAAGCCACGTGCAGTGGGACCCTAATGGTTTATACCTCAGGTCTGTTTTGAGCAAAGATGCCAATGAGCTGATCTGAGGAGGTCCTGAAGCCCTTCTGGATCAGTGCCGAACCCACACATTCTGACAATTCTGCAACCTAAAATGGGGAGGAAGAAAATCAGTAGCAATATTAGGCATCGTCTTGAGTAACAAAGCTTCCTGATGAGTGATGGACGAACCTAGTATCTCAGAGAGCAAGTGGTACCACAAAGATGGGGGAGGGAACCAGCGGGTATTCCATCATTCATAAAGATTTGTAATCAAAAGGCTTTGTTCACCGGAATTCGTTGTGAAGACCTGACTGTAGGGATCCTTCTGCACATTAATCTCATTCCAACAGCTGTAGGCCGCCAATTTTTATGTCAGGAATTCTTACATACTTCTTCTTAACATTTAAAAAATATTTTTAAATTATAAAACAAAAACAGTGACATAGAACATTTTAATTTTAGTAGTATTTTTGGTATTTATAAAGAGCAGCAAAGCATGCCATTTGTTAAAGAAAGAAGCAGCAGTTCTTGTGACAGATCTTTAAAACAATAAAAACAAGCTGTTATTATTAGGTTCCACAATTCCATTCTTGAGAATGTCGTCTTAGAAAAGAACTCAGTCTTAGAAGAGAGGCTTTTGAGAGACCCAAGTGCAAAACCTGTTGTTGTTAAGTATTGTTAAGTCAGTTCCAACTCATAGTGACCCTGTATTTCCAAGGAGCAGCTGATAAGTTTGAACCGCCAATCTTGCGTTTCAAACCAACCTTGTGGTCCAGTGCTTACCCTACAGCGCTACGTCAGGACAAAAGTATTATTTCAAAATTATCTACAATTGCAAAACTCTAAGGAAACAAGAGACCAATGGCTGGGTAGTTTGGAAATGATGATAAATTTCAGAGAAAATGCTACATACTTATATCCAATAAATATTACAATTATGGAGACCAGTTATAATTTATCAAGACTATAACTATGTTAAGGAGCTCTGGTAGCATAGTGGTTATGAATCAGGCTGCTAATCTCTTGGTAAGCAGTTAAAAAATACCAGCTATTCTGCGGGAGAAAGATGAGGCTTTCTCCCATAAAGATTTACAGCCTCGGAAACTCTGTACAGGGTCACTATGAGTCAGAACCGACTCCACGGTACATAACAACAACAACATAACAATGTTAAGTAATAAGCAAATACAGAAAGGTAAGTTATCACTATTATAACTAAATAAAAATAGGTAGATTTCACAACAATTAGACAGGACAATATCCCCACCCTTATCCTTCCCACACACCCATCCCAAATAAAGTACGGTTTAAAAAAATCTGCTAGTGTTCTTATTCACAGTTGGCGAATTCTCAAGGGCATCAGTATACCTACACCCACATCCCTAGGGAACACAGCCACACCCGGCCTTGACCTAGAACTTTGTTGGTCTGGCATACCGTGCCATCCTGAGCCGCACCTATGGTAATCAGAACTGGTGAGGTGACAGCAAGAATCGCATCAACATGCCTAGTACCTTTATCCTCCATGGGCTCATTCACAACTCTTGCCTACATTTAAGGACTCATAACCTGTAAACTGCCTGCCATTGTTTGCAAAGCTTTTTAGGATATTTTGCACACATTAATGCATCTAGAAAAAGGGCCTACAGCTTCCTGTTATGGAGCCACAGTGTCAACACTAGACTGCTAACTGCCAGGTGGTGGTCCAAACCCACCAGCTGCTCCTCAGAAACCCTATACAGGGTCTCTATGAGTCTGAATCGACTCGATGGCACTAACAACAACAATGTCTAAAATATAGGTTACCATCTTCTGAAACCCTAGTGATTTTTAATCTACTTTAAAAATCCAATCTGAAATGCCTGTGTCTTTTCTAACCAACAAGTACAACAGAAGTAATCCAGAAAGCAGTAGTCTGTGCAGATTTAGGACCATCATGCGATGGGATGTAACTAACATGTATGAACTATTTTCACACTATTTGTGAAAATTAGGGATCTTTGCAACTACGCTTTGAATTGTGTTGTTCTTAAGTGCCACTGGATTGGTTCTGACTCATAGTGACCCTGTACAAGGTTTCTGAGGCTGTAAATCTTTATGGGAGCAGAAAGCCTCATCTTTCTCCCACGAAACAGCTGGTAGTTTCGAACTGCGGACCTTGCGATCTGCAGCCCGATTTGTAACCACTACGCTACCAGAGCAGCAAAATAAAGACAAGGAAATCCCTCTGGTCACATGAGATCCAGTTCATTACTCCTTCATCCAGGCAACGTTATGTTGCAAAGGCTATTGGTTCAAGTCCACCCACAGGTGCTCTGGAAGAAAGACCTGGTGATCTACATCTGAGAAATCAGCCACAGAAAACCCTATGATGCACAAGCAGTTTTATTCTAATGCACAAGGGTCAACATGAGTCAGAGTGAATTCCAAGACAGATGGTTCGTTTTATTTCCCAAATGAGGTAAGGAAAGAAAGCTTGTGTTTCTATCTCAGAAAGACTAAGAAACACTATTCTAAATGGACCAGCCCCCAGTACCCAAATACATCAAGTACTAAAACCACATTTCACACAAAACCTAGTGGGAGGAAGTTAATTTGTATTCATGAATGCCCCAGGATTACCTGCTCCTAAAGCTGAGAAAAGCAGGAGCCTAGGGACAGAGAGCTGTTTCCTGGACAGCTGGCTGGGAACAAAAGGCAGCCTTGCTGACACTTGCAGCTGTTCCTGCGTGTCCTCACGGCACTGTGTGGACTGAGGAAAGCAGCGGCATCTAGACTGGTTGTAATAATGATAAAAATAAAATGCAGCATCTTTCTGTTCAGCTACCTATGATTCATAAACTACTATTTAAACAAGTCGTGGCCACAAATCAGTTAGGACTGCAGAGTGATGACAGTAAAAATATTCAGATCCCCATTTCCTCTGCACTCATACAATAACACAGGTGTCTTCTCTGAACATCTGTGCTGTTCCCTGAGGCTGCTCTGGGGTTAAATATCACCCTAGCTTCAAGGTGGTCATGGACTAACATTGAGCATCAGCATGGCATAATGGAAAAGCCCACAACACGGCCAGAGATCTCACTTTTGGTCTTGGTTCTGCCACTGACCAGCTGTGACTCTGGGTGAGTCATATCCCTTCATGGGGCATGTTTTCCTGATCTATAAAATGACACGGTTACTCTAGACTGAGCCTTTTAGGCTTCCCAGCACCTTTCCTGGCAGAAAGAAGTAATCCTACTCCCAGCAGGTCTGGGAGAGGAGTCACCTGCATCAAGTACACTGCTTAAATTTTATCTTAATTTTATACTCTAATTCCACAATGCATCCACATTAGTTCTGAAATAAAGCGTTTCAGAACCACCAGTTAAATTACTTAGCTTGTTGTTGCTAAGTGCCTTTGAGTAAGTTCTGGCTCATAGAGATTATATATATATATATTTCCCAATAAGTGGCTGGGGGGTTTGAACAGCCAACCTTGCGGTTAGCAGTCCAGTACTTACCCTATAGTGTCACACAAAGACTCCCAGTCTTTCCTAAATCTTAGCGTAAAACTTTTTTCTATTGGGACACTCCACATTTACCCCAAAACTCTGAGCTAGTCCAGTATATACACTTTCGAGACACCATCTGACGCTTTGTAGACACCAAGAACTAAGGTGTTTAAGCCCCACAGCCTATAATGAGTAAACTACAAACACCAGAAAACTCACCTCTTTGTATGAAAGCCATTCATAAGGTTGGTCTGGTTTCCGAGAGCCCAAACAAGGTCCATTATCTGAAAAAAGAAAAAGTAATGAAAAGACAGGAGACTCTGACAGATAAAAACATTCCTAGATTTTTATTTTCATCTCGTCTCATTCTCCAAAGTGTCAGGTCATTAAATGATAAGTTCAGACTGGAATTGTTTACCCCTGATATTTTGTTTTCTTGTTTGTGTTTTGTTTCTTAAACAGGGCGAGAGTAGGAAGAAAGAGAAAACCAAACAGACAAAAAGTCAAACACAATGAGCCAAACGCAAGATCAGCAGTTCAAGCCACCAGTGGCTCCTTGGAAACCCTATACAGGGTCGCTAAGAATCAGAACTCACTCCACACACCTAACAACAACAAAACAACAGTGAAAGCAAAGGTTAAGAAATGTCATGTTCCCTGGAGGTGTCTTGATTCAAATTTAGGTACTGCATTAGCAGAAAGGAAGAAAAGCCAAGTAACTATTCAAACGGAGGACTAGTACCTGGAATCCCTGGGTGGCACAATCATATTTATCCGACAACTAAACACTCAACTACAAAACAAAAGGCTGGCGGGTTTGAATGCACACAGAGGCATCTGGGAAGCTAGGTCTGGCGATCTCTATCTGAAAGGTTGCAGCCCTGAGAAAACCCTGTGGAGCAGTTCTCTGCACACATGGCGGTGCCATCAGTTGGAATTATCTCAACAGCAGCTGATTTTGGGTTTTAAGGACTAGCATGGTAACAACGAAAATCCCCCAAATAACTTTTATTTGAAATTATACAAGTGTCTACCTACAGATTAATACCAAAATAACGTGACAGAATTTTGCAAGACCAAAGACTTCTTCAATGCAAATACCCTTTTAAATAACATAAAAGACAACTATACACATGGACCTCACCACACTGCATACACAGATTTCAAATTGACTATATCTGTGGTAAGAAATGATGGAGAAGCTCTGTATCATCAGCCAAAACAAGGCCAGGACAAGACTGTGGAACAGACCATCAATTGCTCATGTGCAAGTTCAAGCTGAAGCTGAAGAAAGTTAAAACAGGTCCACGAGAGCCAAAATATGATACTGAACATATCCCACCTGAATTTAAAGATCATCTCAAGAAAAGATATGATGCACTAGACACTAAAGACTGAAGACCAGAAGAACTGTGAGATGACATCAAGAACATCATACAGGAAGAAAATGAAAGGTCATTAAGAAGACAAGAGAGAAGGAAAAGACAAAAATGGATGTCAGAAGAAACCCTGAAACTTGTTCTGTAATGTAGAGATGCTAAAGCAAATGGAAGGAGTGAGGATATACAAGAGCTGAACAGAAAATTTCAAAAAGCAACTCGAGAAGACAAAGTAAAATATTATAATGAAATGTGCAAAGACCTGGAGTTAAAAAACTAAAAGGTAAGAACATGCTCAGCATTTCTCAAATGGAAAGAACTGAAGAAAAAAATGCAATCTCTAATTGCAATATTGATGGATTTTATGGGCAAAATATTGAATGATGCATAAAGTATCAAAAGAAGATGGAAGGAATACACAGAGTCACTGTACCAAAAAGATAGGGTCAATGTTCAACCATTTCAAGAGGTAGCATATGATCAAGAGCCAATGATACTGAAGGAAAAAGTTCAAGGTAGAAGGAAGAACTGAAGGCACTGGCAAAGAACAAGGCACCAGGACTTGATGGAATACAAATTAAAATCTTTCAACAAACTGATACACTACTGGAGGCACTCATCTATGCCAAGAAATTTGGAAGACAGCTAGCTGGCCAATTGATTAGAAGAGATCCATATTTGTGCTCTTCCCAAGATAGGTGACCCAATGGACTGTGGAAATCATCGAACAATATCATTAATAGCACATGCAAGTAAAATTTTGCTCAAGATTATTCAAAAATGGCTGCAACAGTACACTGACATCTCTGTACTGTTGCAGTGCTGATGTCAGATGAATCTTGGCTGAAAGCAGAGGATATCAGAAAGATGTTTACTTGTGCTTTACTGACTATGCAAAGGCTTTTGATTGTGTGGATCATGACAAGATATGGGTAACATTGTGAAGAATGGGTATTCCTGAGTACTTGTACTCATGAGGAACCTGTACGTAGACCGAGAGGCAGTTGTATGAACAGAACAAGTGACACTGAATGGTTTAAAATCAGGAAAGGTAAGTGCCAGGGTTGTATTCGTCCACAATATTTACTCAATTTTATGAGCAAATACAATGGTTAGGGTTTTGTTTCCACTTGAGCAGGCCAGGATTTCCAAGGGTTTAGCAGTTGGGAAAGTGTAACAGTGAATAAGTAAAATTGTAAAGAATTGATACATTTGAGTTATGGTGTTGTAGAAGAATACTGAAAGTACCATGGACTGCCAGAAGAACAAACAAATCTGTGTTGGAAGTACCACCACAATGCTCCTTGGACGTCAGCATGGCCAGACTTCATCTCTCATACTTCAGAGGTTTAGCAGTTGAGAAAGCTGGATAGTGAATAAGGAAGACTGTAGAAGACTTGATACATTTGATTATGGTGTTGCAGAAGAATACTCAAAGTACCACGGACTTCCAAAAGCATAAACAAATCTGTGTTTAAGAAGTACAGGCAAAGCTACGATGGCCAGACTTAGTCTCTCATATTTCGGACAGGGAACTGTCCCTGGAGAAGGACATCATGTGTGGTAAAGTAGAGGATCAGAGAAAAAGAAGAAGACCCTCAAAGAGATAGAGTGGCACAATGGCAGCAGCGATGGGCTCAAGTGTAGCAATGATTGTGAGGCTGGTGCAGGACTGGGCAGTGTTTTGTTCTGTTGTGCATAGGGGCACTATGAGTCAGTTCTGACTTGATGGCACCTAACAACAACAACAACAACAACAACAAACAGCTGGGATGTGCTTATTCCCATGGTGATGAAAACTAATACAGACTTAGTTAGCTTTCTGATGAACAGTTATAAGCAGCCAATCAATTGAAGGGATACTTCCTTGGGGGTGTGGCCTATGCCCAATATAATGGACATGCTGGAAAGGCTTTCTCTTTCCTCTGGGGACCTCAGATTGTAAGCCATTTCCTTGGTAAAAAACTTCTCTATAAATACATATAAGGAGCTCTGGTAGCATAGTGGTTACCAGTGGGGCTGCTAATCTCAAGGTTATTAAGTGCCATCAAGTCAGTTCCAATCCACAGCAATGCTGCTTTAGGTTTCTGAGGAGTGGCTGTGCGTTTGAACCAGAGTTGACTACATTCATAAATATTCTCTAATTAGGAACATGGGCTCTAGCATCAGCTCTGTGTCACCCTGTTTTAAAAGTGGCCTACAAAGCAGCACCTTCCACAGGGAAATCTGACGTAGGAGGAGTTTGGTCATCTCCCACCTGACCAGGGAAATGACATTTATGTTTGGAATAGCACACCACACCTGGTGCCATCATGAAGGTCTGAGTGTCAGTTAGATGATCTGATTAGGGTTTGGGAGCTTCCCACCTGGGGTCCTAGCTGAGACGTGTGAAGCACTTGTAGATCTGAGAACCAGTCATCAGGGTGGGGAGAACCCAGGCCTGTCAGACCCACTCCTTCAGGAGGCTTTCTCTGCTGTCTCTAAAGCAGTGCTGACAGAAGCAGACAGGAGTGTCAGGCAGGCTTTATTTGCAGACCCTCACCCATTTTCAGGGACTGCAACACACACAGGACTACACATGACAAATTCCATCAGTTATTGCTTTCAGAGGCCAAAAAAAAAGAGGGGGGCTGTATGAAGTAGAATGGCTTTATTCCTCAAGCACAGGGATTGGCAAACTGAAGTCAGGGGCTAAGCCAGGCTGCCACCTGTTCCTGTCAGTACAGTTTTACTGGAACACAGCCACACTCACTCATTTCCATACTGCACAAGGGGGCTGCAGAGGAGAGATCACATAGCCCACAAACCCTAACATATTTAATCTCAGCCTCTTCACAGAAAACGTTTGCTGACTCCTGCTCTAAACAGTGGTAATCAATCCTCAGATTTACTTAGGACATTAAAATTACTATACCTTGGCCCTACTAGCAGACATTCTGCTATCAATGGACAGGGATAGGGTCTAAGAATCAATGTTTTGAAAAGACCCCCGGTAAATATTAATGGGAGTCCTGGTGTGGCACTGTGGCTTAATGTACTGCACTGCAAAGTCAGTTTGATCTGCAAGGTTGGTGGTTCAGCCTTACTAGCCACTCCTTGGAAACCCTATACAAGGTTGCTGTGGGTTGGAACCAACTTGACGGCACTTAATAACAACAACAAAAACATTAATGAGTAGCTAAGGTTGAGAACCACTGATAAAGAAAGAGCTGAGTCTTCACAAAGGACTTCCTAGGTACGGTTTAAAAATACTAGATTTACCAACTCTCCCATCATTCAACATACTTCTGACTATGTTACTCAAATGCTGGCTTTTGCTCTCCTTTAAATCCTTATGCCAGCAATAGAAAATGAAATCTTGGAATAAAAAAAAGAAAGGGGGTAAAAAAAAGTGAATTATAAAGCAGCCTCTTCTAATCAGTACAGATTAGGAAGATAGAATTTACTTTTCTTCAACTTCTCTACAACATTCACATATCAAGTGTTATTTTCCATGGAGAGAAAATGAGCAAGAAGAAGTTATGAGGCTTGTCTTAAGATCGTGGGACACTCAGAAATATAATGGAAGTCACTCGACGGCACCCAACAATAGCATGCTTTGTGGCAGTGGTGGAGAAAACACACACACAAACACACATCATCCTATAGCCTTAGTTTAGGCTACTCTACCTCATGGATTGTGTAGTCCTGGTGTGGTGCTGCAGGATAATGTGCTGGACTACAAGGTCAGTTTGAACCCTACAAAGGATCACTATGAGTCGAAACTGTCTTGATAGCACTTAACAAGAACAATACCTTATGGAGTGGATATTTACTAACACAAATTAACCCTGATACTAACTATGAAGGCATTTACTAATTAAATAACACAAATAAGTCTTTAGCTTAATTAATCTGCTACAATCTGTACACATTCAATTATCAGAAATATCAGGGCAAATGCACTGAACTGAGCAGTTCAATTTTATTAGCATTTAGTAAAAACAACAGCAAAAGGCAACACATGCAACGTCTTGTGTGGCTAGAGAGAGCAATATAGCACACAGTCCTTGATTCTAAAGTGATTACAATAAAATCAGTGACCAAAAGAAAAGTTAACCTCTAAAAAATTTTAATAACAAAGTATGGATCCCAAACACCATTCTAGAGAGAGACCTGGAGACCTGGTATAAGTAAAAACAAAGAGATAAAACAAAAAAGGGTGGAAAGGAAGAAGCGGGAGGTATTTTTGCTTTTGTTGAGGACACGAAAGCAAGTGGGACAGCTAGTGGGTGCCAAGAGAAGAGATAACAGCACAGGCTGGTGGGGAAGAAAAGCAGGTTGTTGCTGTTGTTGTTAAGTACCACTGAGTTGGTTCCGACTCACAGCGACCTTGTATAGGGTTTCCAAAGAGTGGGTGGTGGGTTTGAACTGCTGACCTTGTGGTTAACAGTCCAGTGCTTATCCTAAAGCACCATACCAGGACTCCTAGAACAGCAGGAAAACATCTTTAAACAAGCAGGCACTATTATAGGGCTAGGTATAAGAAGCTGGAAGGTATAAAATGCCTCACCTTAAAGTGGAAAGGCTTTAAAGAAAAGGTAGATTGTGATAAATGTAAAAGATGACTAAGAATACATGAACTACCCTGGCTGAAGGGAGGAAGAGGCTTTATTTTATGTTCAGGGGCAAAAGTGCACAAATGCTTGGGGTTATAAGAAAGCAGGGTCCTCATGGTTTGCAAGTTCAGCTACTCCAGAGAGGGAAGGGAGACAGGGTGATTGACAACACAGGGTGCCAGGTAACTAGGGTCTCTTGTGTCATGGTTAGTAATTAAGGGTAATGCCATGAGCCAACATTTCTAAAAGTGTCTGATGGAATGTTGCTTCCTTGGGATGTCAGTATTTATTTCTCAAAACATGACTTTCATGGTTAAATGAATTTGAAAAATGCTGGATTGGGCCCAATTACACAGGGTGTCTAAAGCGCAGGAAATGTCCGAGACTATAATGAGCTAATGCACACTCTACTCTCCATCACATATAGGATATGCTGAAAACCTACTCCACCACAGAGCCCACTCTCCATAGGGAACACCTAGCGGGTCTACTGTGCTTTGAGACTTGTTTTGGAAAGATTAAGGAAGGAGACAGGAGGAGACTTAAACTTACTAAGAAGGACCCCTGGTATGGCTCTGTAGGATCAGCATTGGACTGCAAACCACAAGTTCAGCAGTTCAAACCCACCATCTGCTCCTTGGAAACCCTATACAGGGTTGCTATGAGTCAGAACTGACTGGAGGGCACTTAACAACTACACGTAGGCAACAGACCTGAGTAAACCCACCTTTCTTAATGAGAACTGTTTCCTATTTTATTCTTAATGAAAAAACATGAATCAGTTACACAAATTCAAGAAAATGCTTACTTGACACTTGTAAACCCCTCTGGAAGCCGTCATATAATGTTCTGACATCATCATAGAAATATACCAAAAGTTCATCACTATCAAGTAGTGTGGATCTTCGAGCACCATCACTACCCTATTGAAAAGGAAAAACAAAGGAACATGTTAGATGGAAGCACTGAAAAAACCCAGCCCCACCCCCCAGTGGTGTCTGCACAGGCCCCTCTCCGCAGGGCAGCTGCTCATTGAGTGAATGCCAGAAGCCCAGGGTGTGCTGATATGCTAACATAATTCAGTCACTCACTTGGAAAGAAACAGGAATAAGACAAATGGCAGTCCAAAGGACTCATAAGGAAAGGCAACAATCTAGGTGTGAGGGAGAGGTCCATAGACCTACAAAGTCCAGCCCTACCAAACAAGAGGAAAACAAGCAGGAGAGGAACCAGAAACCTCCAGCCCCATACACACTGTTCATTCTCAAACCATGGCCACCAATAGCACAGAGGACTGATTTCGCTTAGTTCTTGTGAACATGACACTTTTTTCAGGTTTCTTTCCATGTTAGGTGGCATCGAATCAGCCCTGAACTCATGGCAACCCCACACATCATGGCACAGACTGCTGTGATCCATAGGGTTTTCACTCCTAGTCTATCTTGATCTGGAAGCTCCAATGAAACCCATTCAGCATCATAGCAACATGCAAGTCTCCACTAACAGACAGCTGGTAACTACGCTTTAGGTGCATTGGCTAGGAATCACATCTGGGTCTCTCACACAGGAGGTGAGCAGTGTACCACTGAACCAGCCCTGCCCCCTTATGATATCCATATCCATGTTTGTATTCTTTCCATGGCTTTATCTCTTTGGAAAATGCATTACAATTTGTTAGGGACTTCAGTTTTTCATGTGGTGAGATCAGTGAAAACCATCAACTATAAAATGTATTGGTGAAAAAAGATAGGTCCTTACTAGCTTGATTAGCAGCCCTGATAAGTACGCAGATCTGGTATCACTGTGTACCTTTGTCTAAGTTATCTTCATTTATTGGCTTAGTAAGTACTATTTGTTGACTGCTATGTGGCACTGCAGTGTCCTGGTGTGGCGCTGTGGGTTAATGTGCCACAGTGCAAAGTCGGCAGTTCAAGTTTACCAGCTGCTCCTTGGAAACCATATGCTGGGTTGCTATGGTTGAGAACTGATGTGATGGCACTTAACAACAACAACAACAAATGTGGCACTGCAAGTTAATGTGCTAGACTGCAAGTTGGGCTGAACTACAAGGTCGGCAGTTCAAGCTCACTAGCCGCTCCAAGGAAACTCTATATAGGTTTGCTCCTCAGAAATTCTACACAAACTCTAGATAGAGTGGGAACTGACTCAACGGCCCTTAAGAATAACAACAACGATGTACAAGACATACCTAAGCACAGATATAGAGGAACAGTTTTAAGAGGTCTTTCTCAACCTGCCAGCTACTGAGCCCTCCGGGCTACTGAGATACTGCAGGGGATCCAGCCATCCATAAAACCTCAAACATTCTTTGGAGATGAATCAATAAAAATTCAACTACCATGATCCTAGACCTTATAATTAAAAAAAATAATAAATTTCAGAGAGAAGCCTTCACATTTGTAATGCTCAAAAAACACTTTCTTGGAAGAAAGTAGACGATACAAGGTATCGATCTCTGGTACCACCACAAGAGAGGATGGGTCAAAACTAGAAGACATAACTCTTGGTTTGAAATTTGTTATAAGTAGGAAATGACTTTGTGAAGAAGGGACATTCTAGCTGGAGCTCAAAAGTGAGCTGCTACTGCTGCTATGTAGGTAAGTATAGGGACTGTCTTTGTCTCTATGGTGATGTGTTTCTTGTACTTGCTTGTGGGTTTGAACTGCCAATCTTGCAGTTAGCAGTCCAGTGTTTATCCTAACAGTGACCCCAGGACTCCTGTCTTGTACAGGTTGTTGCTATGTACCTTTAACTCAGTTCTGGTTTATAGTGACCTCGTATAGGGTTCCTGAGGCTATAAATCTTTGCAGGAATAGTAGGTTTCACATGCTCTCGCGGAGCAGCTGGTAGGCTTGAACTGGGACATTTTGGTCTACAGTCTAAGAGTCCGGGTATGGTGCAGTAAGATAAAGCACTTAACCATAAGGTCAATGTGAACTTCATGGTCGGCGGTTCAAACTCACCAGCCACTTCTCAGAATCCCCATACAGGGTCATTATGAGTCAGAATCTACTCAAAAGCACTTAACAACAACAACAACAGCTTATCCTACAGAGCCAGCAAATAGTTTAGTGGACTGGGTAGACAGAGATGACGGAGAAATGAGATACACTCCAGGGAAAAACCAACAAGGTAACCTGGCAGATAAGTTTTGATGGACTCTACTTAAAAAAAAAAATTTAGGATTCCTCACTTCTCCTCTTAAAAGCTCTGTTTCTTTTGGTTTTCCCTAAATTATAATTTATATACTGGGTTTGTTTGTTTGTTTCATTTAAATGGTACAGAAGTGCATCAAGGATAAAATAATCACTATTAATCATCCAGTGAGTTCTTCTACACTTTTTTCTACTCTGGTAGTGTAGTGGTTACGAGTCGGGCAGCCAACCTCAAGATCAGCAGTTTGAAACTATCAGCAGTTCCGCGGGAGAAAGATGAGGCTTTCTGCTCCCGTAAAGATTTACAGCCTCGGAAACCCTGTACAGGGTCACTGTGAGTCAGAACTGATTCCGCGGTACTTACCAACAAACAACAACAAACTTATATACATTCTTTCAATATCAACTATGTCCTATGTGTATTTCACTTTTGATCTACAACTTTGAATAGTTTTCTGTAACAAATACCACCCAATCATATATTCTAATCATCACACACCTTTCTGTAGCTCAGCAGAAACTCTCTAATACTGCAGCCATGATTCTAAACATAATTACTAACTACTGCATGCTACTTGATAAAGCAAACACGTTATTTATCATGTACATAAAGATAGAAACACTTCTTCACTATTATATCATTAATTATTGTCCGTTCATCTCAGAATCTGTTTTCATTTAAATGGTGATACCATGTTTCCACTTTCAGAGGCATTTTAGTTACTCAAAAAATGTTCTTATAAAATAGCCATGTGCAGAATATTTCTCAGACACTACAAGTCCTTCTTTGCCTATATTTTTATCCCTCTATCTTAGCCTATATCAACAAACATTCAGACTGAACTTGAGAAACAATTTTGTGTATCTATAGCAGGAGTCCTGGTATGGCCCTGTGGATTAATGCACTGGACTGCAAGGTCGATTTGAACTGCAAGGTCAGTGGTTCAAGCTCATCAGCTGCTCCTCGGAAACCCCATACAAGGTTACTATGAGTCATAACTGACTCTATGGCACTTAACAACAACAACAACACAGTGGGGGTGGAGAGCGTTTGGCCCATAGTGCTGTTGAGTTGGTTCCGACCCACAGTTATCCTGTATAGGGTTTGCAAGGAGCAGCTGGTGGGTTTGAACTAATGATATTACGATTCAAACTGACCTTGCAGTTCAGCACATTATCCTGCAGCACCACACCAGGACTCCAGCTATCACACTGTTGTTGTTGTTAAGTGCCGTCAAGTCAGTTCTGACCCATAGCCACCCTGTATAGGGTTACCAAGGAGTGGCTGGTGAGCTTGAACTACCAACCTTGCAGTTCAAACTGACTTTGCAGTCTAGCACATTAGGCATCACATTTTTGTTGTTGTTGTTGTTAGGTGCTATGGAGTTGGTGCCAACTCACAGCGACCCTATGCACAGCAGAACGAAACACTGCCCGATCCTGGGCCAACCTCACTATTGTTGCCACGCTTGAGTCCATCGATGCTGCTACTTGGCCAATCCATCTCGTTGGGGGTCTTTCTCCTCTTTTTCTCTGACCCTCCACCTTACCAAACATGATATCCTTCTCCAGAAACTCATCCCTCCTGACAATATGTCCAAAGTATGAGACCAAATATACCAGGCTAATTTTTAGGTTGATAATTCTGTATGGCCAGTGAATGATGTTAGAAATTTTGTCATAAAAAGCTTTCCCAACCTTGTTCTATATTAAGGATCAGAAAACTCAAGGAACCACCTAAAAGTCCTAGGACATCCAGGCTAAAGTAGGAAGAGAAATGGAGGGGAGCGGAATGAGAGAATGAGGAGAATGGTAAGGGGTTAAAAAGACGGAAGAAGAGTAACATGTTCTTGGTGAAGAGGTACTGACCATAGACACCTGACTCATGGTCACTGGTGCCAACCACCTCTGCCCATCCATGTGCAGCCTGGAGGTGCAGGCAACCCAGCTACCCACAGGCAGTGACTCACGCCACTGCTTAGAATGGTACCTTCGATTCTCCTCATCAGGATACGAAGGCATTCTCCACCCTCCCTATACATTCTGCTGAGTAGTTCTCATAGCTGTAGAGGGGGGCAGGGAGGAATCAGAACCAAAAAGTCTGTTCTGAAGTAGCCTGTGTCTTATCCTTAAGTGCCCAGAGGAACTCCAAGAACTATGGGTCTGGTTTGACCACTGGCTGAGCACAAGTGAGAAGTCAGAACCAAAAAAAAAAAACAAAAGGAGGCCTGACTTCTCAAAAGTTAAGGTTAACCTTAGAGCTGAGGTCCTCACAGTGCAGTCTGAGACTACCTAGCAAATGTTAAGAAAGCAAACTCTCAGGCCCCCACCCCAGTCCTACTAAATCAGCAATTTGTATTTTAACAAGTCCTTCAGGCGATTCTGGTATTCATATTTGAGAACCACTGTGTTAGAGACATTAAGGTGAAGGGAAGTGGTGAACATCTGTATAAAGCTTTAAAAAGAAATCTACAAGGAGGAGAATTGGGCGGAAGAGCCTGGATAGGGCTATGGTTGGGGGAATGAGAACAGTGATGCTGAAGATACTACAGAGTACATAAATGGGATTTAGCAAATGTTTGGGTATAGAAGAGGAGGCCAAGAAGAAAGTGGCTGCATTTTAACAAAAACTGAAAATAGGGTTGAGAAAAGACTAAAGTTAGCTTTGGATATAGATGCCAGGGAGCTTCAGAAAGCTCAGGGAAAAATTACATTACCTTTTGATTCCATTTTCTCACAAACCTTTT